TCTCCCATATGCTCATACATACTGCCGATGTTGTTGTATGAAGTGGCTAAATGACGAGGATCTGAAGGGAGAATTTTTTGATCAATTTCAAGTCCTTGTTCGCAGTACGGAATAGCCTTTTCATAATCGCCTTGATTTAAATAGATAGCCCCAAGCCGATTATAATAATGCGCTTGTTCACCTATATAAGATGTCTGTTCGAGTAATGTGGTGTACAAGGGTTCAGCCTTATTAAACTGACCAATATTAAACAATAGTTCACTCAATCTGTGCCATCCGGTACCACCAGCTTCTTCTCGTATTCGATCAGTAAGTAATCGTAGTTGTGGATCATCATCCGACGTTAATTGTAATTCAACTTGATAAAGTTGATTCTTATTATTGATTTGTGTAATTGCACTTACTCGAAAGACGGTGTGCATTGAGAAGAGAATTTCTTCTTCTTCGTGAAAATAACTCATTTCTTTGATGAAAGCAAATGGTGCTGATTCAATATAAGGGTCAATGGACATTATAAAAAGAATGCCGATTGTATCCAATTTTGTTGAAGCACCTTGAGCAAAACCAAGGGACACATCTTTATCTTTACTGGTGGACAAGAAACTGTTAAATGACATAAGTCCACCTTTTGTTTTCTGAAGTTTTTTAAAGTCTGATTTCATAAGACCTTGTCCTCGATAAACTAAAAAAGGTTTTTTTTCATAACTATTGACTTGTTGCTCGTATAACTGTTTAATTTGTTCATGTACATCACGTAGAAAAAAACCCATAGTAATAATTATATCGGCATCCATTGTTCGGAGACCATAATTGAGCATAGAATAGATATCGGATGGGAAAGTATACCACCAAATAGCTAATTGAGAATTGTATTCTTTCTCAAAACGGTCAATATTGATTGGTGATACGCTGTTAGAATTTCGACAATAGGTAGTAAACTGTTTGATGGCCTGTTCCCCATGATCCATATCAAGAAGAATTTCCTTGAATAGCTGGGTATACATAAATGTTGGCTCCAACTGATTTAATTTATCGGTTGAAGCCATTTCATCGATCGTGATAAAACTTATAGCTATTGAGTCTTGATTGAACTGCTTGATACCGATTTGTAATGCTTGACACAGATCATCGGTGTTGGTATGAAGGCTCTTGATTTTGTCGCATTTTTTTATCCGTTCTTCTTGTAAGATTTTAATATTATTGAGGACATAAACAGCATCCAGCTGAGGAATATCATTGATGAGGGGCATTATTTGTTGAGACATAGTATCCTTTACAACGAGATAAAACCTGATGTCTTCTTGAGCATCTGTAAGAAAGTCGATGCATGCATCTCGTTGAGTAAAAGCATTGACATCACCAGTAGTAGTTCTTATTTGTTTTAATGTGTTTTCATAATCTACGTTTGTTTCGTCAATACTAGTATCTACCCATAGGAAAAGATACTTTTGTGCTATACGTGATCGTGGTTGACGCAAATTGGATGATGCCGCTGGTTCGGATGATGCAACAGCGTTTTCATCTGATTTTGATCCACTCATTTTGATCTTGTGGTAATTTATTGTTGACGTTGAACTTGTCAGTATATGTTTTTGTTTGAATGAAAAGAAAGATTACCGTTCTTCTTTACATAGGCAGTGGCTTATTTATTCTCGATTTTTCAACGATTTTGAATGTTTATGTTTTTTCTTGTTGTCATTTGAGGGCAAACTTTATCTAGTTACTTTTGAAGATAATATTGTAGAGAGCAAGAAACAGAATAGAGCAAGCAAATCTCTTGGTAATATCATTAAAAGAACGAACAAAATGGAAGCCAACACTCCAAGTTTATTTTATTCTTAGTCTTTCCAACTTTTTCTTGTCTGTCTACATCATTACTGCCGTCTGTAAATGTGTAGACGACATTTTTTTTCATAGAGTAAAGGTAGAAAGAGAAATACTATTCTTTCAGTGGATTAGTTTTTCTCTTACACTCTTTTGTCAGACACGATGAATGTTTGATGAATTTATGCAACTTGATATGAAAGGACAATGAAAAAAGCTTTGTGAAATTCTGTACATAGAGCATTCTTTAGCCATTATGCTAAGGAATGAAAAAAAACGGTCGACTCAATATTGATGAAAATCAAATCGAAGAAACTTTTTTATTTTCTGTTAAAACAAGCAAAGTGTTTCGTACAACGTTATTGAAGAGATTTTTTGAAAATAATTTTTAAAAAATACAAAAATATCAAGAAACTTTTTTATAATTTGCCTATAAAATACTATTGTTGAACAAGAAAGGAATTATTTTGCATTCATAAAGGTACAAACGGCTACTTCAATTGTTGATAGTAATTGAAAAAATGAACGTTTTAAAAAAAAGAGATGCTCAAGAACTATGCACTTTGCACAAGAAAAGAGACTTATTGAATGCTTTTTTAAATGATATATTATTTGAAGTAAGACAAAGCTTCTCTGTGAGGTATTTAGATGAAAGTTTGTTTTCGCATTAAAATAAATAATTTGTGAAATGATTTTTTTTAATCAAATTATGTGCCGTTTATTGTTTTTGATATACTAGAACCATTATTTTTTAACATGAAACTACGGATGTATACGTAAGTAAATTATCTTGAAAAAACCTATTTACTGATGCATTTCAGATTAAACAATAATATACAAAATTCTAAAGATTTCTTTTTTCACAAATCTCATATTTTCTAAAACGTATAGAAAACCATCAAAAAAATAACATTATTATTGTTGATTTATATTTCTTTTTCTAAAAATTATTTAGCTAATATTTATAACATAGACAAACTATATTAGTTTATTTCTTCGATAATATATAATAAATAAATAAATAACACTCATTTTAAGAGATTATTTAGTTTATAAAAAAGAATATCAATGACATTCAGATATTTTCGCTCACTTAACGACATATGTTACGCAAAGATTCCTATAAATTAAAGAAACACCACTAGTATAAACATTATTTCGATATCAAACCTAGCATCGCATTTCATAGTCGAGTGCAACACGAAAACTGTCTAGTTCTATATAAGATTCAGCTTTTATAGAAATCAATGCAATGTGTTCCCTAGAAGAAAATACAATCAATTTTTATTTATATCTTTTCGCATAAATATTGAAAAGTATATATTTAACATTTGAATTCTATATACATATACATACACAATGACATTGACTATAAAAGATTCATATTTCAATCAGGATTGACCTCTTTATTCTAGTCATTGTTAATACATATATAAGTTCAAAATAATTATTCTATTCCATGAGAAACAATGGTGATTGATTTTTTTTCCACTTATGATGTAACCTATCAGCATTAATGTGATATTAAATTCTCATTAGAATACGAGAGAAATATAAAAGAGTTTTATTCGATTATACATTTATATTTCTTTTCATTTTCTTTTTTCGTGTGTTAAGTAAGATGGAAAAACGTGTTTTAAAGTTTGAATATGATATTGGAACATCAAGTCGTACAACAAGTGGACAAACAAATGAAGAAGT